GCAACACAGGCTGCAGAGACCCCTAGGCACTTGACACCCATTCCCTGAAGACTGGGGTCTCCATAACTGCTACACAAGTCAAGCATCTTGGGAAATGTTGGAGCTGGGGCTCTATGGAGGTGACCTGGCCATACTCAGGCAGGGATAGCTGCTAGGCTCACTCAAAGCTGTGTCACTGTGCTTGCTAGTTCAACTTGACACAAGCTGTAGTCATCTGAGATGAGGGAACCCTAACTGAGAAAATGCCCCCATAAGATTAGGTTGTAGACAAGCTTGTAGAGCAGTTTCTTAATTAGGGCCCAACCTATGGTGGGTGATGCCATCTCTGGGCTGGTGGTCCTGGGTTCTAAAAGGAAGCAGTTGAGCAAGCTACAAGGAGCAAGCCAGTAAGCAACACTTCTCTGTGGCCTCAGTATCAGCTCTTGCCTCTGGGATCCTGCCTAGTTTTAGCTCCTGCCCTGACTTCATTTGGTGATGAACAGTGATTTGGAAGCGTAAGCCAAATAAACTCTTTCCAACCTTTTGGTCTTGGTGTTTCATCACAGCAATAATAACCCTAACTAGGACAGTGACACTAGTTAATACTGCCTCTTTCTGGTACCCAAGAGTACTGTTTGTATTAGGCTCTGCAACAGAGCTGCTTGGAGGGCCCTCTGTCCCCATGAATCTCAGGGAAGAGGATGTGAAGCTGTCTTTGGTCTTTGGGGGTGGAGATTAGCCAGGCTCCAGGGTCAGGGCAGGGATCTGGCAGAGTGGTGGCCTCAGCAGGCCAGGGATTAGCAGGTGATACTCCGCCCCACCCCCTCCTACCATACCTCACCACTTGGAGAACTGTAGCCTCCTTTCTCACAGGAAAGCCAGGCTGTGGGTATCCTAGCTCAGAACCTGAAGCCCTAAGTTTAGAGCCAGACATTAGTTTGGAATACTGGGGCTGCCTCTTTAGCATATATTGGCATATAATTTGCATATACTTGCATGAGTGCTAAACCTGCTATTCAGAATTCCCTGCTGTTAGAATCCTGTAAGATTTGGTGCTCCTTCTCTATAGGGCCCAGGAACCTAAGGAAGGCTTCCTCATACAGAACTTTGCCCAGCGCTGACCCTGATTAGCACCCCCAACCAAAAGTCTGACTCTTGTTTTGTTTTGGTTTTGGTTTTTTCAAGGTGGGATTTCTTTGTGTTATCCTGGCAGTCCTGGAACTCACTCTGTAGGCCAGGCTGGTTTCAAACTCAGAGAGATAGGACTGCCTCCCAAGTATTGGGATTAAAGGTGTGTGCCATCACTACCCCACAAGGTCCAACTCTTTTAATGTTTGCTTCCCAAATACCACCTCCTCTATTGCTTTGATCTTCTATTGCAACAGTTCCTTGTAAATGACTTGGTTTAAGGTGTGGTGTTTCAGTAACCCAGATGCAATAGGACAGTGGGCTGCAGAGGAAGCCCTAAACCAGTGTCATTCAACACGCTAAGGGCTGGCTTACAGTAAGAACTCTAAAAATTTGTCCCAGGTGGTCAGGTTGAGTGTCTGCCCCTTACTGAACATCTTGTGGCCCTAGAACCAACCCAGGTACAACCATCTCATAGAACTCCCCCCACCACTGCCCTTTGTACCCCTTCTTCCTGGATCTGTGTTTCTCCTGAGAGTTCAGCCTAAGTTTACCGATTCAGTCAGTAATGAGCCAGGCCTTGGAACCTGTAATGGTCAAGACTGTTAATTTTGGGTTACAACTTGGCTGATCAAGAATGCCTTAGAGAATTGATAAAGCATGACTTCTAGGTGTGTCTGGAAGGGTGGTTCCAGGCAAGATTGGCATGTAGGTCAGCAAGCTGAAGACTCATCCTACTATATGGGTTGGAACTGTCTGCTTGGTTAGTGTCTGGGAGGGAACAGGGTAATGGAAAGAGGAAAACGTCTCTGATTCTTCTTCCTTAATTGGGTGTGGTTCTTCCTGCTGCTGCTGGCCTTGGACCACAGACTCTGGGCCCTTTGGCTGCCTTGGATGCTGAGTCTTGCACCAGTCACCCTTTATGGACTCTGAAGCCTGAGACATCTAACTGGGACTATATCCTAGGCCTTTTTGGTCTGAGACTTCATACTCTCCTGGTTCTGTTTCTCTGCAAATGCTGATAAATAAATACAGTTGACTAAAGGCCTTGTCCTGGGCCAATGGTTCTCATGGTAAAGACTGTGCCACAGAGAGTCTGCTGAGTTTCAGCATCAGTGCTGGACAAGAAGGACACACTCCTGTCCCCCTGACTTAGCTGATGAGCTCCTGTCACTTTGAGGAGTCTCCCAGAACCACATAGGCATGCAGGCTATTCCTAGTTCTGCAGCCTCTCAATGACTTTGTCAGTGTGTGGGAAGCCAGGCTCTGGCACTGGGGCAGGTTCCCTAGAAATTTATAGGGCCCTAAACTTTCTATCTAGGACCCTGATGGACACACTTGGGGGTTGCTGCTGGCTCCCCTGGGCACCAGTCATATTTCTGCCCTGCCTGCCCCCCCTTCTGCAATGCTAATCCTTTGCACCCGGCCCATCTAGTGCCAATTAATCCTGGCTGTGTCTGAGGGGCCAGCAGTAGGGGCATTGAGAAGGCAATTCCTTCCAGCAGCTGACATCTGAACAGGTAACTCAAAATGAAGTGGGGGCTCCGTGGGACCCCTTGGGGGATCCCCATGCTCTGCTCCTAGCAGAGCATTTAGGAAATAAAGTAGACCTGGCAGGAGAGCTTCGTACCTCCTCCCGTGGTTTAGACTTTGGCAGCTTCAGGGCAGCCTGAGAGGGTTGGGGGAACCTAGGAGTCTGTATTTTCTGTAGCTCCCCAGAAGATTCTCCCTTTACAGGGAGTAGGGGAGGGCAAGATGATCAGGAGAATGAGTGTTATCAGAGGTGGTGTGGGAGCCAGGTGTCAGGAGGAGGGCTTTCCTCAGGTCTGGTGTCTGGGGCTGTTGATAGCTGTCTGGGGTCTGTGCATTCTGTCATCCCAAACATGTGACCTTGGGAGGAAATCGCTGTGTCCACACTCTTCCCCCCTCTCCCCAGCCAGCAGGGAACTAGAAGAACCCAAGGGTTGTGTCTGGCTCCCATCACTTTTCTGTATGTAGGTTGATCTGACTGCACAGCTTACACTCTGTCCCCATTGAGGCTGTCCTAGGGGAAGATGAGCCAGAGCTGGGACTGAGGTCAAGGAGCCTGGCAATGGGCTCGAGAAAGCAGGTACTGGGGTAGGGATCCCTGGCCACGGGGCTTCTTTTTTCAAGGGTCCTGGTAGAGGCAGGAAGGAGGTAAAATCTTGGTAGGTCTGTGTCCTGGGTGGCCTTGCACAGACCTGTCTACAGATCAGCCTGGATGGTGCCACTAAGCCGTCCTTTGAGAATTTGGTGACACAGAGCTTGGCTTAATATCAATGAGCTAGAAAATGGTTGAAATGTCATTATCAACTGTGACAGAGGTCCAACTGGCACTTTATCTTCAAAGTTAAACAAATGATAAGTGTTACTATTTATGTATTTTTTTTATAATTTATTTAACCTTATTTTATGTGCATTGGTATGAAGGTGTCAGATTACCTGGAATTGTGAGATGTATTGTGGGTGCTGGAATTTGAACCTGGGTTCTCTGGAAAAACAGCCATTGCTCTTAACCACTGAGCCATCTCCCCAGCCCCTTGTTTATTTATTTACAGGGTCTCACTGTATAGCTCTGTCTGACCTGAAACTTGCTATGTAGATCAGGCTGGCTTTAAATTCACAGAAATCTGCCTGCCTCTGCCTCCTGAGTGCCGGAATTAAAGCACTCAAGCTAATGTTATCTAGACAATACAGACTTCCTGTTCATAGGTCTCAGTATTTCTTTTCTGTCATGGGCTTCTACAGTATATGATGTTCCACAATCTGTGTTTGCACTCTGACTGTACAGTCATGACCAATGTTTATGAAGTCTTCAGCATGGGCAAGTCACTGGCTAGCAGCTGACATCTGAACAGATAAGTCAGAATTAAGGGGGCTCAGTCACTGGTCTGAGAATGTTGCTTTTATCCAAAAACAATTTTTTGTTTTTTGTTTTTGTTTGTTTTTTGAGATGGGTTCTTTGTGTATCCCTGGCTACCTGGAACTCACTCTGTAGATCAGGCTGGCTTCAAACTCTCAGAGATCTGCCTGCCTCTGCCTCCTGAATGCTGGGATTAAAGTTGTGTGCCACCATGCCTGGCTTCTCTTAATGGATTTTATCCTCACACTCTGCTCACAAGATGGGGGTCGATCAATGGCGCTTGGTTTTTGCTCAGGCTGACTTGGAACTACTGATTCTTCTGCCTCCACTGCGCAAGTGCAAGTGCTGGAATCTGAGTGGGTACCACCATGCCTGGCTTCAGTGCCCCCACTTTACAGACAGGCAGACAGGGATGAAGGGAGTCAACTGATCTGCTCATGACAACGCTAGAGCATGTCACCTCTCACTCAAATGAATGTGCTCCTTACTTTCCAACCTTCCCCTTATCAGCTGCATTGCAATTTATGCAATACAGACCTCATCCATGATGAGCATTCAAATTCTTTCTAATAGCTAGCCTCTGATAACATTGTAGAGATATTTTTCATTTATGTGTGCTTTTTTGAATCCCACCCAAAATTGTTCCCTCAGCTTAGAAAAAGATAAGGGAAGTATAAAAAAATCCATACCAAAGAATACTATTCCATAATACAAACTGCAGAAACTCTTTAAAGATTTTTATTTAATATATATGTGTACATATTTCATGTATGTGTGCATATTTCATTTGTGTGTGGATGCTCACAGAGGCCAGAAGAAAGTATTGATCTCCTGTAACTGGGGTTGCAGGTGTCTGTGAGCTGCTTGATGTGGGTACTGGGAACTAAATATGGATGTTCGGGAAGAGCAGCAAGTGCTCTTAACCATGACACCATCTCTCCAGCCCTGCCGCAGAAATATTTTTAAAGATGAGGTGTGGTGAAGGCTGTCTGCAGCCCACAATGTGGCCATGAAAGAGGAGCGTGCCTGTGAACCTTCTGGTGCAATTCAAGACTCTGTTACAGGCATCAGGATGCTAGGCTGGATCCAGAAGGTGCTGCCTCAGCCTCCAGAGACCCTTCAGAGGACTGAGGAGGTAGCAGAAACACAGCCAGAACCAGAGTTGGAGCCTGAGGCAAAACCAGAACCTGAGCCAGAGCCTCAGCTGGAGCCAGAGCCAGAACCGGAAACAGCCCCTGAAGAGGATGTGCCAGAGGAGGTCCAGACCCTGGTGAGAGGAGAGGGTAGGAGGGCAGGCTGGTTTTGCTGCTTGGGGACTCACAGCCTGAGCAACCTGATCTCTGTGGGCTTTCTCAAGAAAGAAAAGTGGGAGCCAGTAGGAAATGTGGCTACTGACTCAGTGCATTTCTGCATGGGGCCACTCAAGCCTGTTTCTGTGAAAGGTAAGGTAGGCTTTGTGGGCTATGCCATCTCTCTTAGTTGCTCAGCTCTGCCAGCTACAGCATCAGCCCAGCTGTGCAGAACACGTAACAAATGGGTGTGGCTGTGTGCTGACAAAATTTATTTATGGGACTGGAGAGATGGCTCAGAGGGCAGAAGCATTTACCATGCAAGCATGAGGACCTGAGTTCAAATCCCCAGAACCTAGGTGTAATCTCAGCACTTCTCTAAGGAGCTGGGAGCAGAGAGGAGAAGCCCTGGGAGCCCAAAGACCAGCTAGCCAGGCTAACATATTGAAAAGGCTGCAAAGAGACCTTGTCTCAAAACAAGGTGGCAGGCAAGGACTGATACCCAAGGTTGTCCTCTAAACATACATGGTGCATACGTTGTAATCATATACATTCTCCATTTAGAAAAACAAGCAACAGACTATAAATGCCCTGTGGCCATATTTATCAGCCTCTGTAGTCTAGAGCAGAGAGAGAGACATTCTAGACTCTAGTCCATGATTTGTTTATTACCGGACCATGAGGAGATTCAGAAATAGCTCCAGAACAGAACCATACCAGTTCCTTCAGTTGGTATTCATTTTGTAGGAAGACTTCTCAATTCAGGAAGTAGGAAATAATATAGGTTTTTAATAAAGAAGCCATGAATTTGAAAAGGGCAAGGAGGAGTTTATGGAAGGGCTTAGAGGGAGGAAAGAAAAGGGATAAATGATGTAATTATATTATTTTTAAAAATAACTAATTAAAAAAATTAAGAAACTGAGCAGTGTTGGTACATGCCATTAGTCCCAGCACTTGGGAGGTAGAGGCAGGCAGATCTCTGAGTTGTAGGCCAGCATGGTCTATAGTGTGAGTTCCAGGATAGCCAGGAAACACAGAGAAACTCTGTCTCAAAAAACCAATACCTAACTAACCAATTAACTAACTAACAACTAATTTTAAACAAGATTAGTATTCCACTGAGTACATACACTTTGGAACATACCAGAATAAAAACCATATTCCATTTATTTAATGTGTAGAATGTTCAGAGATCAGAGGACAAGTCTTGTGTGGAACATGTCCTCAGGGTGGACAGCAAGCACCTTTACCCACAAAACCTCTCACCAACCCTTAATTTTTAATCCAAAGTGTTCAGTCACCATGACCAGTTAGCAGTTTCTATTGGCATTGGTCCATGTACACATATTGAGGAACCTTTTTCTAGCAAGTTCCTTCAAGCATATCAAAAACTTACCAGTTTGACACTGCATCCCTTCAGGAGCCTGATGACAACTAATTTAGCAGCTTAATTAAGCAGGTTTCATTTGGCTTCTAATTGATGCTAGATATTGTGTTTAGTGCAAAAGGCATAAAGAGGAATCAATTAGGCATTGTCCCTTGAAGTCGGTAGACAAGATCCCATTTGCTGCTTCCATCAGGAGACAGGGCTAGTGAGGGACTGAGCTCCAGTATAGCTCTTAAAACTTACAGCAATTCACAAGCAAGGGTCATTTACCCTCCAAAGTTGGAGGCTAGTGGAGCATGCTTAGACACAGGCTGGTGGGGAGATACAGAGGCAAGGCATTCCTGGAAGAAGAGAGGTTGTTCGTGGGCTAGTGCAGAGTGTGTTTAGGAAATGGCTATAGAGTACGTATGTGTGGACATGTGTATGTACATATGGTATATTCATGGTGGCATACTCTGAGACATGGGCATTTCAAATTTGTATATACATGCCTGTGTGTGTGTAGTTGTATGCATATGCATGCACATGTGTTTATTGTATGCACATGACTCCATGTGCATGAGCTCATTTCTGAGTATGAGCTTATGTGTTTGTGTGTATACTTGTCTGTCACATTTGCACATCTCTGTATGCATACATATTTTATATGCCACATGTATACTTGTGTATATTTTAGATGTGTGTATATTTGTATATGTGTACACGTGTATATACACATACTTATATAATTGTGCAAATGCCTGTTTATGTGACTGAGCATGTACATGTATGTGTATATGCAAATTTCTGTCTTTATACATATGCAAATATATCTGCATGCACATGTGTTCATGTGTGTATGCAGACATGTCTATTACATGTGTGTATACATATGTATATATGAACACAGTTGTATTTCTGATATGTGTATATGCAGGAAGATACAAGTGTATTTGTATGAATGCACTTGTTTTGTATATATGTGCATACATGTGTATCACTATTGTATGCACAATAGTGTGATATGCATGATCATGTCTATGTGTACATAGACATAAATATGGTCTCAGATAGACCAGATCTGAAGTGTGGGACTCTTTTCCAGAGGCCCAGGAATTTTTCTTCTCTGTCCTCTGTCCTCCAAGCCCAGGTATGGGTATACACCTGTGGATATCTGCATGGATGCTCATGTGTGGCTGTCTGTATCTGTACACAGTGTGCAGGAGTAGAAGAGGCTGCAGGAACAGTAGAGAGGCAAATAGCAGAGGCAGGAAGGAAAGTTTGGGCACCAGAAGGAAGAGGCCTGATGGGGGAGCACCTCTGGCCTCCGTTCTCCAATGTCCCATGTCTTCTCCCTCTTCTCAGGTCATTGCGTGGAACATCTTTTTGGGGGATGTGAGGCTCCAGCCTGGGTGCATGGCCCCTGTGGTGTGAGGAAGGAAGGGCCCAGGGTGGAGGATGAAGCTAGCAGGACTTATAGATGATACTGAAATGCATCATTTGACTTTGGGGACTGCAGGTCCCAAGAGTGAACCAGAGGCTGTCCTTTATGCACCAGGCAGCCTCATCAAGGCTTACAGGTTCTGTTTGAACCCCACAGCCACTGGAGGAGCCAATGGAAGGGGAAGGTGTAGCTGAGGCTGATCCTAGCCTTCAAGGTGAGTGCTGGCACCCAGGCTGGCTGGGCAGGGGACTAGGGTCCTCTCAGAGCCTAACAACAGCTCACTTCACAGATAAAGCAGAGGCTCGGGGAAGTTTGAAGTGGGCTCCTGGGAGCTTTTAAGCTGAGCAGAGTAGAAAAGCTCACCTGCTAACCCCTTAGTGGTCTCCTTCTGCCCAGCTTCTGACTCAATCTCCCTAGCAAAGGAGAAATGGGCCTCTCTGGGCCACATTTGAAATATGGGACCTTTTTTTTTTTTTTTTTTTTTTTTTTTTGCCAGAGGTCCAGGAAACTGACCCTCCTCAGCCTACCTTCCAGGCCCAGGTTGCGGTTGCCAAGGTGAACAGGTACCATATCACCCTCTCCCTTCCCACTGTCCCTGCAGGGAGCCACTGGCATGGAGGGGACAGCTCTGAATCAAGTCTGTGGCCATTCAATAGAGGCCCAGAACATCAGCCAATGGTCAGGGGAGCTTTCATGGGAGTTGAGGGTGCTCTTGGCACAACGGGGGTGATGGCCACAGTAATATTGGGGAGCTAGAATGGTATCAGTGCTGGGGTGACTTCAGACAAGCCAGTGTTCCTGATCTTTAGCCATTTTAGTTCATAGAGTTTGTCCAGCAAAGCATATCTTGGTCTGGGGCTAATGAAAGGCAGGGAATCGGGACACTCACATGAACGGATCAGCCTCTACCTCTGCCTCCAGAGGTACTCTAAGGGGATCCTTTTAGAGTAACAAAATGTGAGAATGCTGGCAGGGGTCCAGAGCTGTACAGAGCAACTGCAGGGCAGGTTCCTAAGGTCTCTCTCATGTCCTTGGCTAGGGACTGCAGGGGACCCTGTGTTTTCCAGAGAGGAAGTAAGGCTTGAAAGACTCACCATGGCTTCATTCATGTCAATGAATGTAGTGTCCTTTGGGATACTACAGGCTGCCACTCTGATGGGGTAGGGATTGATCGTGAACTGGTGTCTCTATCCCTTGGCAGCCCCAGTGCCTGGGTGCTGACCTGGTTCTGGAAGGGCATGGAGAAGGTCGTGCCACAGCCTGTCTACAGCAGCAAGGGTAGCCAGAACCTGGCTGCCGGAGTGGGAGACACAGATCAGGTACAAGCGCAGGGTGACCTGCGGGTGGAAGAAGGGTCAGCAGAGGGTTGTGGGGATGGGGAGGCTGCTCCTTGGACTCCTTGTAATGTCTGTCTGTCTCAGCAGGCTGGGGCACAGATTCTGGGACCCTGTGGCACTGGGGAACCAGGTGAGACCAAAAGGTAGGATGGTTTTCCAAGGGTGGGAGCCTCTAAGAGGAGACTGGGATGGGCCCAGAAGTGGGGAGAATTCGAATGGTCCGTGGAAGTGACCCATCCATTGGCTTTGAGAGGCCTGATTTGGGTGGTCTCAGTACTGCTTAGGTTGACCTGGGGTTCAGGCAAGTGCTTGCTCTCGCTCCCAACCCATTCCCCTCGCTTTCTCCTCTTCCCCTCTCTTTCTGTCCCTTTTTTATTTTTCTTCCCCTCCTCTTTCTCCACTGACTTCATGGATATTTTTCAATTTGTTAACTTATTTTTTTTTAACTGATACATAAAACACAACATTGTTCATCTTAAGGGCTACCAGTGACGTTTTGTTCCCCACATGCTTTTGTGATCAGGTTAAACCTACCTCGGTCCTCTGATAATTCTCATTTCTTCCTGGTGAAGACATTCGGTCTTTTCTGTAGATTTGGAGATAATGCAGTGTTCAGGTGACGTCTGTATCTGCCCCCTGTGCAGCCAGAACTTCTGACAATCCCTACATGCAGTTTTGTATCCACTGAGCAATTTTTCCTCAGCCTGTTTCCCTGTCCTTTATTTCCTGACTCTGTAGGGTCTGCAGATGGCTCAGATGAAGCTTCCAGGGCTCAAGATACTGAGTAAGTCCTTGACAACAAGTGTCACTGTTGTCTGTAGTGGGTCAAATAGTGTGCACAGAGTTTGAGAGTCTTGGGCTCAGGAGCAGGGTTTATTGACACCTCCTGTGTGACCTGAAGTGTGTTCCTCCCCTCCCCCTGCACGTGTGCGCGTGCGTGCGTGCGTGTGTGTGTGTGTGTGTGTGTGTGTGTGTGTATGTATGTGTGTGTTGATAGGGGGAGTTGAGACAGGGCTTCTGTGTAGCCCTGGCTGTCCTGGAACTCACTCTGTAGATCAGGCTAACCTCAAATTCACAGAGATCCACCTGCCTCTGCCTACCAAGTGCTGGGACTAAAGGTGTGCACCACCACACTTAGCCTCTTCCCTCCTTTCAAGCCCACTTTTCTTGTCTGCAGCATGGAGTGGTGTAAACACCATGCTGCCCATGCTTTCCGCTGCTTGCTGGACACTCTGTGTGGGACCACCTCTGGGGAGGAAAGGGAGCATGGATGAGCTCTGTGCAGAGACTTCTGGGAGTGTGGGGCCTATGTGGCATCTGGGAGCAGGGCTTGGACCACCACAGTGAATATGCTACTTGTTGTCTCATCAGTTCAGGTCTCTCAAAGGAAGCTACCTGCCTTGCCAGTGAGGGTGTCAGGGCAGGTGGGGGCAATGACACATTGGGGCACCTGCTCAAGAGGGGCCCTGCCCAGTCTCAGCCACCTCTGCCTGCAGTAACTGCAAAGTCTCCTGTGTTTTATGAAAAGCCACAAGCTGATCTGGACACAAAGGCACACACCTGTAACCTATAACTCTGGAACTGGGGAGACTGAGATTGGGGATCATGAATTTGAACCCAGTTGGGGCTTTACAGCTAGACTCTGTCTCAAAAGCAAACCAAACAAAAAATAAAAACAAAATAAAGTCCTAGGAACCTAGGACTTTATATAAAGTTCTTAATGCCTATTGCCAGTTATTAATTATATGTATATATATAATTAAATATACATATATATGTACACACACACAATTGTCATGTCCCTAATATCAGCCTGAAGAACTACTTTGTGATTTCTGCAAGAAACCCAGACTCATGCCTTCTGTCCCAACCACCTCCTTCCATTCACCCCTTCACTCACTCATTCCTTGGACTGCTGGCTCCTTGCTGCAGGTGTAGAAGGCTGGCCAGGCCTAGACTCCAGTGGGCAGTAAGGTAGCTCAGATGGGCCTTATTTCAGGCCACCCACTTGCTGACCACTGACCCTTCTGCAGGCCTAGCCTGTGGCTGCTCAGATGGCTTGAACAGAATCTGGAGAAAGTACTGCCTCAGCCCCCCAAACCCTCCGAGGTAAGTGGTGAGTTGGGGGTGGACAGCTGACCAGCAGGGAGGGTTGGGGCCCAGGGAGCTGCTTCCTCCAGCAGGCTATGGCCAACCCCCAACATCCACTGGAGAGTAGATCTTCTCCTTGGAGTGTCCTACATGGCAGGGGGGGGGGGTGACTGACTAGGGCCTGGGGACATTTGGGAGCAAGATAGAGCCACTGTATTACTTACCTTTCTTAAGATGCTTAAAGAGTTTATGTTAGTTCATGGTTTAACGTGGGTACCATTTACCATGGCGTGGAACCACAGCAGCTGGTCATATTGCATCTGCAGTCCATAAGCGACAGAAGTGAACGCTAGTGGGTCTGTCTGTCTATGTCTGCCTGACTGTCTATCCTTCTCTCTCTGAAACCCTTTTGTGGAGTCTGGGATCCCAATCCATGGCATGGTACCACACACAGAGTGGGTCTTCCCTGCTGAGTTTAGCCTCTTTGGAAACTCCCTAAAAGACCTGTCCAGAGGTGTGTCTCCTAGATGATTCTGAATCAAGTTAACAAAGGAAATTAATCATCATGGTCCCACCGTCAGCATCATGCACGAGTGTATGCACACATGCACACATGTGTGAGCACACAGAGCACAGAGCCAGGGCACAGCTGGGCAAGGTGGGGTACATGCAGGGCTGGCTTTGACCATGACCCATCTTTCTGTCATCCAGGCTTGGAGAGCTGAACCTGAGGCTACTGTCTTGGACCCAGGTACAGAGAAAGAACTGGGAGGGGCTTCCCAAATGGTCACAGGCTGGGCTTCAGGGGAACCTGAAACTGCCAGTGTGTGTGTGTGTGTGTGTGTGTGTGTGTGTGTGTGTGTGTGTGGTCTCACAGTAGCCTTAGTTCTCAGCCAAATGAGGGGACAGTTCAGTCCTTGATAAGACTGGAAACCCCACGTTAGTCAGATCTGGGACTCTAGCAGCTAGGGTCAGTTGGATTTCACAAGCTTGGATGTGTCCCTTTTCCTTCCTGTACTGTTTGATATTAAATGTTTGTTATTGAATAAAATGGCCTCACCCAGCCATGTCAAGTCTCCAAATCTGGCCTTTTATACCCAAGAGGGATTGGATGAGACCCTGGTACGGGTTCTTTAGTGCTGGCTCTTCTACCACTCAGATCCTCCAGAACCCCTGTTGGAGACAGAGCCCACAGACAGTAGTCCCTCCCAGCCAAATCCCGGAACGGGAACCGTGGAGCCCAAGGAGGAGCCAGATGCAGAGCCCCAGCCTGGCTTACAGACTGCTTCCCTGCCACCACCTGGGGACCCTGTCAGGTGAGCCCTCTGAAGGCCACAGCTCCCACAGGGAGCAGGCTCAGAGCTTTGCTTTAGCCCAATACTGGTTTGCTGAGTTAGAAAGTTAAAATATGCATTTGGAAGAAAACTCAGACTCCCCAGGCAAACCTCATCAGCCAAAATGGGGAGTGTACGTTTCCTTTAAACATGTATCAAGTACTCACTAGTAAACTCAGGAATTCAAGGCCTGTTAGGATTCTGTAGCCGAATCTTATCTCAAAACAAGCAACACACACACACACACACACACACACACACACACACACCTCTATCAAAAGCAAATTGCATGAATTCTTATACATCCTCCTTTTTTTTTCACTTAGAAAAAAAAAGTTCCCTAGGGTCTGGAGAACTGGCTCAGTGGTTAAGAGTGTTTGCTATTCAAGCTCACTCCTCATGTTGTGCAGGCTCACTCCATGAGCATGAGGGCCAGACTATGGATCCCAGCACCCATGTAAAAATGAGCATGCTCCTGTGCAGGACTGTAACCCCAGCACCGAGGCAGAGGGTGGAGATGGGGGCGTGGGGAGGGGGAATTGCTTGCTGGCTGCCACCCTAGCTGCAAAAACTTGAGCTCTAGGTTTAGGTAGAGACCTTGCCTCCAGTTTACAGAGAGATGATGTCTCAGGTTTAGGGAGAGGCTGCCTCAAAGGAACAAGGCAGAGAATGCTAGAGGAGGGTGCCTTCCACTCTTCTCTGGTCTTAGCACCCTTGCACAGACATACACACCTGTACATAACCCCCCCCACACACACACACCAAACTTTTTAAAGAAGTCCCTCAGTGGTGGTTTTATACACCGGTTCTATTTCATTCCTTCAATCGCTGAGAAGAACTACATAGTACTCCATTTATTTAACCACACAGAAGCACTTAGAATTGGTTCACACTTTTCCTGCAAACAAAAAACCTTGAACACGCCCTATTTGGCCACCAGGAGTAAATGTGTGGACTCAAGGCCACATGCATTTAAAATCTGGATGGGTGCTGCTCAATGCTCATACCCTGGGTGTGTGTGAGAGACTGGAAATGCATATGTGAAGTGAGGTGAAGAAGAAAGCTGAGCTACCTGCTGGGGCTGGATGGAGAGGGAAGGGGGAGGAGGATGGGGAGGGGAGGACAGGGCCTTCAGGGTTAGAGACCTGGGACTGGCCTCTGACATGACCTGCCTCCTGGCAGGCTTGTTCTGCCCCAATTCCCCACCCTGAGCCTTCCCACCTGGCTTCTCCACTACAGGCTGCTTGAGTGGCTCCGACACAGGCTGGAGATGGCCCTGCCACAGCCTGTGCTCCACAGGAAAGCTGCGGAGCAGGTGAGTGGCAGCCAGGCAGAAGAGGCCCCGGCTGGGTGGTGGTGAGGGAGGGGTGTTGAAAGCTCAGACGAGGGCTGGACGCTTGGCTCAGGCGCCTGGGGATGGGGACACAGCAAGAAAGGAGCCGCCAATGGCAACTCAGCCCTGGAGCCTGCCTGTGTGCACACATTTGTTGAGGCTCTGTAGCCACAGGACTGGTCTACCTGCCAGGAGCTTTCAGTCTAGGGACTTCTGCAGGAGTAGTGGAGCTCAGAGACAGAGTTTCCTGGAGCATCAAGGAAGGCTTGGTAGTAGAATGACCCCCAAGAATGTATAGGGATGCTCTAGGAAGAAGTGATGTTTCCAGGAAGTCTACAGGCTCCATGAGTATTCCTGGCAGCTTAGGGCCCAAACATGGGTGGTGGGAAAGCAGGGTCATGGTCAACTCTTCGTTTTCTTTACCAAGAGACTAGGGCCTGATTCTCCTTCCTGGGGGACGACAACTCATGTCTCCATAGAAGCACCTACAACCGGGAGGTGACTGTGTGACATTGGACTGGGTCCTCTGAGAGCCTTACTTTATCTCCCTGAGCAGTGGGTGAACAATTCCATTACCACCCAGGCTTGTGAAGGAAAACAAGGAAAGAAAAGAGCTTTGAAAGTAAGCCAGAGAGTGTTGGGCCTGGACTGGTCCTGGGTCTCTGGGGCCCGTAAGGTCCTAGCACCAGCATCTGAGCAGGCACCTTGCTGCAATTGCTTCAGGGACCCTACCTTGTGTCACAGAGTTAACTGCTCTATTTTTCCCTCGATGGCTCTAGGCCCAGCAGGGATTTTATTCTTTGTTTAATGGGAGGTGTTCCAAAGAGCCAGATACCCTGAGTCCACACCCAGTTCTGCACACTCCTCCTCTCCCAGCTGGCTCAGTGCTGAGGGAGGCTGAGCAAAAGGTACTGAAAGCCAGGCTTATGCATTCACACACCTCATCCGTGCTGTCTCCTAAGGGGTAAAGAACAATGGCTTCAGAGATTTCCAAGTATAAAAGGGGTTGGGGCTCAGGAACCATTAGCTAATGAAAATGCTGTGGTGACAGAGACTCTGGGAGAAGAGTTCCAGGTGCAAGAAAGAGGGCTGGCATCTCACAGAGTGAGCAAAAGAGAGGATATTATAGCCTGAGCAAAAGCTGGGAGCAAGCTGTGGTCCTGGCGGGGGAAGGGACCGGAGCAGCCAGGAGTGGGGACTCGAGGCAGTGGGTCTCTGCAGGTTCTGCTGGGGAAAAGATTCATATACATCGGTGACGGGAGGGGGCAGGTGAGGCCGTCATGACAGGTCTACTCTTTTCTCCCCATGTAGGACTCCAGCTGCCCTGGGACGTGTGATGTGCAGACTAGTAAGTATCACACATATGGGTCCCATGTTTACTTCAGGGAGAGCTACCTGATATGCTTAGGTCTGAGTGTGAGGTGCAATTAGGGTCTCCCAACCTGGAGTTGAGAGAGCCTGTTCTGCATCTCTGAATAACAGTGTTGGAGTTGGTGGTTAGAGTGTTTCCACTTTGGCTTCCAGCCTCCATCAGGAAAACAACAAGTCCACACCCCTTCCTGTTGGCAATCACCCAGAACTGGGAACTAGACTCCGGAAGCTGGGCTGAGCAGAGTCTAGGTTGAGAAAGTATGATGGATGGGATGTTCCTGACTACTCTGGAACATGTAGGAACTCCATGGCTGTTAGAGCAAGTAAAGGGCAAACCTTGGAGAACCAGAGACTCCTGTCTATTCAGAGTAAGTCATATGTAGCAGAAACTAGGCTCCATTTAGCCAGGCAAGTGATTAATCAGGCTGAAGTTCAAGGACCAAAATTTCCCAGGGCAGAGACCATCTATACACGACAGAGGGCTTAGATGGGTTCTGGGTCCTCCTGTCTTCCTATTGACTCCACGGAAGGTTGTAGGATTTCAGCTGGCTGAAATCAGGTTACCCCAAAGTTCCTGGGACAGGTAGGTCACTGGTGGGCACCAGACAAGAGTGGACACAGGCTTAGCACAAATGCCAGGAGTGTAGGTTTGTCCTCTGTGACTGCTGTGACAAATGTACATATGTCCACAATTGAGGTGCTGGCAAAGTCCAGTCCTTTTGAGGCCCTAGGAGTGGGGCTGGGCTGTCCTTGCAACTCTCCTGACCAGCTTGGCCTCTATGGCTTCTAGCTGATCTTCCATCTGCTCCCTGTCCCCTCTGCTCATCTCCCCCCACCCCCAGATCAACAGCTGGGGAGAAATCCTGCCCTAAACATGGGAGGCTCTTGCTTTTGAGATCCTGAGGCCAATCATGTTGTCAAAACCCTATTGCCAAATAAAGTCACAGTGGCATAGAATAGCATAGAACCTGAACATGTTTTTTTTTGGGGGGGGACACTGTTCAACCCACTTCATGGGATGACTAGGGGCCTGGGAATACATGTTCATTTCCTTCCTCTGCCCTGTCTCCTAACCTTCCCATCCATCCATCCTCTGCTTGGCCACTCATATCCTCACCTACCCATCCACCCACCCACTTTGGTCACTCATATATCCTTCCTTCCTTCCTTCCTTCCATCCATCCATCCATCTATCCACCCATCCATCCGCCAATCCATCCATTCCCATCCATCCATCTTCTGCTTGGCTACTCAGATGACCACCCTTTCATCCATCTATCCATCCATCTTCTGTCTGTCCACTCAGGTGCCCACATTTTTGTCACCTCCTTTGTTTCAGGGGTGACAGCAGCTGGAGGCCTCTGAAACAAGGGAGAAGGGGACCTGGGGAGCCCATGGACAAACGGATGAATGGATGAAGGACAGAAGGATGCCTCAAGAGAAGACCTTTTAGGGGGCAGTGACTGCTAATCTCCACCCTCCTTGAATAGTGAACACCAGGCAGGACCAAGGAAACCAGAGTCATATGAAACACCAGAGCTTTTGGGGCTCTTGGCCAGGGGGCAGCACCCTGACCAGATCAAGGGCAAGGGGGACTTCCTGGTGATTGACTACGGAGAGCCCTATTAAGGCCTCAATGTTCAATGTCTGAGCATGCTCACACCAGGAACCTAATACCATCCACACTGCTGCAGGGCCCACTTTCCCTACAAGTGGTTCTCCCAAGGTCTGTCCTAGTTCTGTCTCTGAGAGTCAGGGGACATCAACTATGACATTGTAATTGACATTAAAGAGTGTGACTTTGCACCTCAAATCTGTGACTGTATGACATTCTTAGGACAAGTCTGAAAGAAGCCTTTGGGTTTTACTTTTTTTTAGACAGGTCCTTGCTATACATTCCAGGCTGGCCTCCAAGTCTTCATCCTTCTGTCTCAACCAACTGATTGATGGAATTGCAAATATACCCCACAATACTGTAGTTCTTAAAGAGAGATGAGTTGAATAGACATTGCCTGTGGTACTGGGGTTATAGGCTGGAGGCTCCTAGATGTCTTTATTTAGATTGATTTTGAAACAGAATTGTCAACCTTTAAAAAAAGTCAGCATTCATGCTGGATGATGGTGGTACACACTTTAATCCCAGCACTTGGGAGGTAGAGACAGGCAGATCTCTAAGTAGGCCAGCCTGGTATACAGAGCAAGTGCTAGGACAGCCAGGGCTACATAGAGAAACCCTGTCTCAATAAGTAAATTAAATAAATAAATAAAATGTAAAGATCAGCTTTTACAGAAGGGCCTGGCTTCTGTCGGTAACGGGATGGTCTGGCTGTGATGGCCAACATTGGGCTCATGAGGAAGCTGTGAACAGGAGCTGGCATTTGTCCCTTCATTCATATCCATCATCTGAGTTTGGGTGAACAGGAGCTGGCAGTGAGAAAGGGCAGTCTGTATAGATAATAAAGTGGAAAATGTCTGGAGGCAGGGGCAAGGGGTTGAAGAACTCTGGCCATGTCAGCTAACTGGGATCCCAAGCCCTTGTTAGTGAAGTCAAAGCAGGAAGTTTAACTAACCTGTAGGGACTAGGCTCTCAGCAATGGGGAGCCACTGAAGGTGGTTGAGCAGGTACTGACTTCACAAAGATTACTCTGGGGCTGAACAAGTACCACAGGCAGGGGATATACTCAAAGCAGGTCCATACCTCATTTGACCAGGCTCAATTGTGAAGAATGTCCCACCTCCAGATCTCATTGCTGAGGTACATACATCGAGGGAATCTGCCTTTTCAAACAGCTCCTGCCTTCCCATGTATTCTGGTGAGGGCGATGTCTGGGACCTTCAGAGCTGTGTGTGGTGAGCGAGGGCCTGTGCTTCAGAGCAGAGTAGGTGAGGACAGATTAGCCTGGACTAGAGAAAGGGGCATCATGAGTTAGGCCTGCTAGAGAAGGCGGACTGAAGCAAGCACAGGCCCTCAGGAGACCTGAGGCCAGAGTGTTTGGCCTGGTGAAAACCTATGTGACCAGACTCCCTGGCAGCAGGAGCTTCTGTCTCAGTGGAGCAACTGGACAGGTTGCTGACTGGAAGGTAGCGTGTCCAGGAAAGACACCAGAGGTGAAAATTAAACATGGCCTGGGCCAGCACTGGGCTGGGCTGTAGAGAACAAGAAGTAGACTCCATCTTGATACAGAGGAGCCAGACCACCACAGGCAGTCGCTTCTCCCAGGGGCCTGCCAGCCTCCCACCCCTGCCCCTGTATGTGCTGGCTACCCCTCATCCTTGCCTTTCTGGGTTGGTGGCTGGGCCCAGAGTTGTGGCATATTTGTCTGCAAACAGGCACAGTCTAAGATACCTTGTGGGTCTGCAGCAGAGATGAGGAAGTGGTCATGAAGGGTCAATGACCTTTGACCATGTTCAGAGCATCTGAAAAGCATTCATAAGGAAGGAAACAAGGATGGCGACACTAGGGATAGTGCCCGGGAGAGCGCCTAGTACTGGGGAGGTGCTCGCGGGCACGTTTATTGCCTGGAATACAGTGACATCCCCTCAAAAGTTTGAGTTCAGCCTCTGCTGCATAGCAAGACCCTATGTCCCCAAACCAAGACAATCACCATTACTAACTCATGTTTGACTTGAGGGCCACCAAGACCGCTGGAAATTTTGAGAAACAGCTGGTGTGCAGGAAATCTCCCCTTCCCTCCTTTACTAGGGTTTCCTGTGAGGTGTCCTGAGCTCATTTCTTTGTTTTTTGAAATGGAGTCTACCTGTATAGCCCAGGGTGGCCTAGAACTCACCACTTCGCAATCCTCCCTATAGAAATCCCCTTGCTCTGCCTCTCAAGTGCTGGGATTAGGGGTGTGAACTACCACACCCAGCTGTCTGAACCTATTGTCTGACAGGCTCACATATTTTTTTAGTCAGGGATCTGGATCCATGGTGAAATGTTAAAAAGATACAGGAATCTGTAATTGTTTTCCAAGGTCTCATAAAAAAGTTGCATTGTTTCAGAGAATGGAGATTCTAGGTTTAGCTGGAGGGATAATGTCCCCAGAAGCAGGTACTGAGCTCACAGACATTCTGTCACCAAGAGCAGCATCCAGGAAATAGGCAAGGAGTAGGCTTTGTCTGCATCCCTCGGGACAATCCAAGATACCCTGCCTCTGGAGGTGGTGAAGTGTCTAGTCTGGGTCCTTTGACATTAGCTGTGACGCTGTGAATAGAATAGTCTTTCTGTTCTGGCCAAACCTCTAAGAAAAAGAACCTTGATAAGAAGCAAGTTTGATCAACTGTAACCAGAGCTCCATCCCAAGAGGGGAACGAAGAGAGCCATGGGAGGAGGCTGGAAGGGTGGCTGTGTTGTTTGAGGCTGTCCCTGGGGCTTTGAGCTGGCTGCTTATGGTACTGTTGGTAACACAGCCAGCTAGGAGCCAAAGCCCCTGGAATAGGGTCCCCAGGTTGGACCCCCAGGGTTCAGGGGTACAAGCTACTCTCCTTACTTACCCCACAAATGGCTCCTCTTTATCCCATGCAGTCAGCATCCTCCCTATGGAACAGGTGGAGCAGGATCTTGTCCTGGAGGAGGTGGACCCTTGCTGGGAGGACATCCAGCAGGAAGACAGTGTTAGCCAGCAAGAGGACAGTGCCAGCCAGCAGGAGGACAGAGTCAGCCAGCAGGAGGACAGAGCCAGCCAGCAGGAGGGCAGTGCCAGCCAGCAGGAGACAGAGGAGGCTCCTGTTTATGAAGAAGAAAGCGAGGCCATGGTGGAGATGCCCAGGTGGGAAAACAGAAGCCCTGGAAAAGGAGCCAGTGCTTGAGAAGGTACCAGGCATATGGCGTGGAACCCTAAAGGCATAAAAGGGCCTGGGACAGGACCACACCTGCCTCTCCACTCTCAGCACCTGCCCTCAGCCCCTAGGCACATGACTACCGGCCTCATTTCAGAGGTAGATTGGTGACAGACACACATGAACCCCCATGTTCTGGTTTGATTTTGTTGCTGTGATGAAGAGCTCTGTTAAAAAACAATGTAGATGAGGAGAGGGTTTATTTCTGCTTAGACTTCCAGGTCATAATCCATCACTGAGGGAAGTTAGGCAGGAACTTGCAACAGAAACTGTGGAAGAATGCTGTTTGCTGGCTTGTTCTCCAGGCTTATGCTTAACTAGTTTTTTACATAACTTAGGGCCACTTGCCCAGGGGATGGTACTACCCACAGTGGGCTGAGCCTGCCTACATAAATTTATAATCAAGACAAACTCCTGCAGAAATCCCCAAAGACCACTCTGATTTAGGCAGTTCTGCAGTTGATTCAATTCAGTCACCCTCTCAGATGACTCTAGGCTGTGTCAAGTTGAAAATTAAGGCTAACCAGAGTAATCTCTCTCTCTCTCTCTCTCTCTCTCTCTCTCTCTCTCTCTCTCTCTCTCTCTCTCTCTCCTCTTCTCTCCTCTCTCTCTCCCCACAAAAGATGGCATATCATGTGTATTTAACTGCCTCTAGTTATATTTGGTCAGTTATATACCTTGACACTTTTCATAATTCACTAGATGGAAACCATCTTCATTGTTTTTATAGCCATATAGTATTCCATTATATGGCTAGACCATACTTTGCTATTTGTTGTTTTATATATTTTTAGATAAGATCTCACTATGTAGCCTTGGCTGGCCTGGAGCTTACTATGTAGAACAGGTTGGCCTTAAACTCAGAGAGGCCAGTCCGCCTTTGCCTCCTAAGAGCTGGGATTGAAGGTATGTGCCACCGAGCCCAGCTTTAACATGCCTTCCACTATTTACTGCTCTACTTAGAGGCATGAACCTAGGAGAGTGGAGCCTAAAAATGAGGTGGACTAAAGTCTCATGCAATAGGCAACTTTATTCAGAGCATCAGACGACTTATACTCTAAGAGTTAAGAAGAATCACATGGGTCAAGTGTACAATCACAAGGGTAAGCTGCACTTGGCATATAAAGGCATATAAACAAACAACAATAGCGAGTTGTAATGGATCATCTAAGTGAATTCACTTCTATCCACTACACTTGAGAGGGGACCGAGGTCACAAGACTCTTCTTTTCTCACAAGCACCCGAGTTCGCTCGAATGACTCCATTCTTGGACTGTGTTCAACATTCCACAGTGATATTTAGGTTGTGTGTTAGCCATCTTTCTGTTGTACTCAGATATTCGAGGTCACCAGCTTATAAAGAAAGGAGGTTTATTTTAGCCCATAGCTTCGGAAGATCAGTCCATGGGAAGTGGCCCTATGACTTTTGGGCCCATGTTGAGGCATGGTAGGAAAGAACAAAATAATGGATTTCATGTCAGGGAAGCATTTGAAAAAGAAGGGGCTGTTACAATGAACAATTCAAGCTCCTGACCTGCATTTCTAGAAAATACATAAGGGGAAACTGAGATTCACTGAAGCTCAGAACCATCCTCAAGTGACCTTCAGGATGGTATAGACAGGTTGTGGCTAGAGAGCCTGGGGCTACTGGTGAGGAGCTCCCAGGTGGAGCTGCTGTAAGTCCCAGGATGCATGTCAGAGATGGGGTGAGGAGGGCTGGAGCAGGGTGGAGGGCTCACCTCTTGCCTCTGGCCCTGACTTAGGGAGTTGCCCCAGATTCAAGAGGAAAAAGAAGATGAGGAGGAAGAAGAGGAGGAGTATGAGGAGGAAGAGACGCCTGTGTGAGTCACTTGTCCTGGGCAGTGGGATTAGGGGCTCCTGGTGTGGGGTGCTTTCTGCCTTTGTCCAGTGCTGAGCACTGTTGGGCACTGACCAGAGGACTGGGAAAGTTGGGATCCCCACTGTGTTCAAAATGAGCCCTCAGCCCAATACCCACCCCAACTCACACATGAAATCTGAGACTTGAGCATGTTGTTTTCATTACTGTATCCCAGATGCCTTATACAGTACTCATTAAATAAATGTAAAATTAATGCATGCATAGATGCATGAATGTACATGCATGGAGCTTACATACTTCTCCTTTAACAGCAAAGCCAAGGTTGTCTCCCCTGTGTATGCATACACTCTCTCTCTCTCTCTCTCTCTCTCTCTCTCTCTCTCTCTCTCTCTCTCTCTCTCTCTCTCACACACACACACACACACACACACACACACACACGCAATCCTGAGGTAGTCTCTGACAGTGTCTATAGCTGCCTTGGGTTCTACTCTGTTGTCTCACATCCACACAGTTCATTTTAAATAAAGAATTAAAAATGGAAGGCGTATCCCTGACCTAGTTAGAAACTAGAGACTTGGTGTACGATTTGATAGAGTGAGGAGATGTGGGCTGGGAGGAAGCAGGGATGAGTGAGGAGAGAGCACAGGTCAAGCACATGACCAGAGATGGTCATTGAGGAGGGTCTGAAGGACTCCACCAGCAAGGGGACATGGGACGAGAAGAGCACACAGTCAGTGATCAAAGCAGACTGCGTCTGAAGCAGGCTATGACAGCCTTGGACTGGGTTCCCAAAAGCCACAGGGAGCATTGAAGATTTGGGACCAGGAAGGTGATGTAGCTGGCAGCTGTCTGGAGAGAGGTACAGGCAGGGAGAGCAGGGAAGACTGCCGTCGACAAAGGAAGCCTATGTTCCCGAGTCTAACCCCTTGCCTTGTTCCCTGTGTTTGACCTGCTGCCAAGGTAAGGGCTGTGTAGAATCCTATGGGGTAACATCAGCTATCAGGACTCTCTTGCTCAGTTTATATTTCATCTTCCCAACTGCGACAGGGAGCCACACTTTCCCTTGCCTACCTGCAATGATGAGGGGACTCATCGCCTCTCAAAAGCTATATAGGGCCTGTAGTGAGATATTCCCCTGATCCTTATTAAACATCAATAAGGGCCTGGGGAAACAGCTCAGATACATCTCGAGAACCCACATAAATACCAAGTGATGTGGTGGCCTGCCTGTACCCTTGAGAGGTGGAAGTGAGATTCGTGGGGCAAGCTGGTTAGCCAGACTAGTCAGCTAGAGCTCTGGGTTCAACTGAGTCTCAGTAATACAATGGAAAGTGACAGAGGAAGACTGCAGGCCTCCGCATACCACAAGCCCGTGTGTACACATACATAAACATGGTTATATATGGGCACACACACCACATACATACACATGCAAACAATTTTTTAAGAGTAAAACTTTCTGAGTCAGGCAGTGGTGGTGCACACCTTTAATCCCAGCCATTTGAGAGGCAGATCTTTGTGAGTTTGAGGCCAGGCTGGTCTACAGAGTGAGTTCCAGGACAGCTAGAGCTACACAGAGAAACTCTGTCTCAAAAACAAACAAACAAATAAATATAAAACATTTCATCCCATCCCTACCACTGTGAAAGTCTTCCTTGTGGGAAAACTAAGCATGTGCCTGCCCCCAACTTCAGCCCTCCAGGTGGGAGTGCCAGATGTTGCCCCTTCCTTAGTTCAGGCTGCTGAGTGGTCTGCATTCCACCCACCTATATACACAGTGCTGGCTCTGAGTTACTCCTCCTCCTACCCTGTGTGCCTGGAAATTCTGGCATGTGCCCCTGTTCTTGAACTGAGACACCTTCAAAGGCCAATGGCCATGTAAGTCCACATGAATGTATGTGTGTGTCCTCAGGCATAGTGACATGGCATGCATGCACGCATATGTGTAAGACACACACTGGCTGCACACACTCACATACACAGACACACACATGCATGGTCACACCAGCTCACATGTGTGCATAAAGGTACTCATGTATGTGTTTGCATGTGTCCAAACAACTCAGACACCTCAGGCACACATACATCCACACAAGTGACCGCCCACAGGTTTAAATTCAGGGAGCCTTTGGCCTCTGTGATGACAGTCAGTAGTCCCAGCTGCACACATGGAAGATGTGAGGCTGGGGCCAGGCTGGGTTGTTCCTGTCTGGGGAAGGATGCCCTTGGCCAGCTTTGCAGAGACACAGGTTAGTGATGACGTGGAGGCCCTGGTAACGCAGATGGTCACCTAGCAACCCCATCCCTGCAGGCAATAGCTCTGGTTTTCCTAGCAACCTTGGCCCATGGTCCCTACCTGTCCTCTCTGGAGCGTTCCTGCAGTTCCCTGCCAGCCCATTGGTGTGGCAAGAAGCAGGAAGGACCAGTGGTTCCATGCTGCATCAGTCACAGCATCATAGAAGCTGTGGTCCTGGCTGACCCAGAGCTCTTCACAGCTCTACTCATATGCTCCAGTCCCAGGCTTGGTGTGATTGTCACAGCCCCAGGCTGACCCACTGCAACATGGGCCCTCCTACCAGCAGAGCCGGAGAGAACCAAGTAGGTGGCTGCTCTTGCCTCTGAGCTCTTGTCCTCCCTTCCTTCTGAGCTGGAATTTCAGAGGAGGGACATGCTGAAGGTGCCCTGCAGACATGAATTGGGGCAGCATGGCCTGTGGTGGGTGGGGGAGGAGCAGGCTGCTCAATTTAGATGCTGGCATGGCTACTGCTTCTTAATCCTTAATCTAGAAGCCAGGCCCACTGGAAGCGGACCTCAGCCCATCTCTGCTCTTTGGCTCAGAGATCCCTGGGACTTGAGAACTTTTTAGAAGTCGGGGAGCTACTGCTTCCAGGCTGGACAAGAGAGAGCCATGGACAATACTGGGCATACTGTTGAGTAGAGCAACATGCCTTTGGTACATGGACCCTCTGCAGCCTTTGGTAATGTGTATAGGGCCACTGTTGTGCTAGTAAATTGCTTTGTGAGCTGAGGTTGTTTATCGAAGTATGTCCTAACCCAGTTAATCCTCTGGGATTACCTGTAAGGATGCCAGCAGTAATAATAAGAGCTGCTAGATACTGTAGAGTCAGCAGGAACGACACTTCCCAGACAGAGATACTGAGGTTCAGAGCTATGTATGACCACAGGCTGTCTGTGAGCCTCTCTGAGCCTAGTTCTAAGCTAGAATAATCTCACCACAACCCTGGCAGGGAGGGGTGTTTGGCTAAAGAAGCAGGGAGATTGACAATGTTGCAAAGAGCTTGGCACAAGGCCTGGCATACAGCTCATGGAAGCTGCCACGGCCATGTGATTATAAGCTCATTCATAAGCCCTGGCAGGAGACTTATATAGACACCAGTATGTCCTGTCTCAGCCCCTGCTTACTCACCTTGGGAGAACTGAGACATGGCCCTTTGGGTAGATATGACACCTTGGAACATCTGCTGTGAACCTCTGGGGACAGGGCTCTGATGGGGAGGCGGTGCTGTCAGGAAGTAGGAACTAGTTTCAACTACAAAAGTCACATTAGAATCTGGGCTTGGAAGTATATGTCTGGAATCCCAACACCAGGAAAATCACAACTTCTAGGCCAGCCTGAAATACATGGCAAGTTCTAAACTAGCCTGGACAACATAGGCCCCATTTAAACACACACACACACACACACACACACACACACACACACACACACACACACAGAGAGAGAGAGAGAGAGAGAGAGAGAGGTATACTCACATCATCTTAGCCCCTGCTTCTGAGTTATCGTTCTAACACCAGGCTAACACACAGCTATCTAAAGGCCCAGTCCTACCTAAAGACTGAATCTTGTGTGTGTGTCGGGGGTTGAGACAGATTTTTTTTTTTATGTAGTTCAGCCTCAAACTCACTATATAAGTAAGGCTGCTCTTGAACTTTTTTTTAATGTACTTATTTTATGTGTATTGGTGTTTTGCCTGTATGTATGTCTATGTAAGAGTGTTGGATTCTGGAGTTATAGACAATTGTGAGCTGCCATGTGGTTTCTGGGAATTGAACCTAAGTCCTTTGGAAGAGCAGTCAGTGCTCTTAACTGCTGAGCCATTTCTCCAACCCTGCTCTTGAACTTCTAATCCTCCTTCCTCGACTTCCTGAGCACTGGGATTGCTAGAGCCCAGCTCTTCTGGATAGAAGCATGCTTACATAGCATCCAATGTCAGAACATTCTACCTGAAAAAACCTTGTTCAGATTTCTGGAAAATGACAAATCTGATACCCCGACTCCTCATTCCAGTGTGGGGCCCCATTCACATGGACAAGAGCCCTTCTGTTTGCCACAGTCCTCCCCCCCCAGGGCCTCCACCACCCAAGACCCTATGGCTCATATATACTTGCCTAGGCTGGTGATGTCACGAGCCTTCACATGGCACTGTTGGAGCTGAACTCATGGGGAAGAAACAAGGGCCTTGGGTTAAGGTTGTGATTTTGGTTAGGTCATTTCATGTCTGTGCACACATCCCCATACTGGGGATGGAACCCAGGGCTTTTCACATGCTGGGGAAGTGCTCTACACACCAGCCCTTGCTTTTCCCCCTTACCTTTCCTTGCCTGCAGCCACCAAGGTTTCCATCAGACTTGGGGAAACCCGGGGTGTATATTCTGAACAGACTCCATCCCAGAGATGCTTCTCTGAACGTTCCCTGTGGTGTCCTCTTTTTAGATCGATCGTCTCCCCTTTCATCCTTGAGACCCTGTGTATAAGCTATTTCTTTGGGAAATCCCTCTTTCCTTGCATAAATGTGGCCTTTACTGCTGTCCCTTCTTTCAGACAGTGGATTATCAGTGTGGATGTGACCTAGCCTCTGACATCTCTATGTCCCCTGTTTCTGGTCAACATTGGCCACCAGCAGGATTTGGAAATGCCAACCTCCACTAACATTGACTCTTTCCTCTATCTCTTTGGTCACAGTGTCCTGCTGGATAGCTGTTTGGTGGTGCAGGCTGATGTGGACCAGTGCCAGCTAGGCAGAACAGAGCCACAGATAGCATCGCTCCAGGTAGAGAGTCCCAAGCCAAGAGACCTGGGGCCATTGATGATGGGGTGGCAATGGGTTTTGCTGGGGAGCTGTCCATAGGACAGAGAAGGCTGAGATTGTAGGGGGACCCCTAGGAGCTGTTGTACAGGAGGAGATGTCGTCCTGGAGTAAAGATTCTAGAGATGGCTACTTGGGTAGCTTTGTCCCCTCAAACAGGGCCTCATGGGGGCCCTCTCAGTATATGAGAAAACCCTTGGGTTTAGGGCCTTGAACTTCAATGCACACTGCCCTCTACAGATGGTAAGCCACCTCCTTGAATGGCCCAGGAGATGAGCTATCCCAGTTGGTACCAGGTAGGGTAAGAGTTGGAGGGAGTCCAATGAGGCATCCAGCATCCTCTCCATGTGTCTCTGCAGGATTTGCCAGAGGAGGAGGAGGAAGAGGAGGTAGAGGAAGAGGCCACCAGCTCTACAGGTAGGAGTGACATTGTACAAGGATCCCCTGGGGACTTTCAGGCTGGTGGCAGCTTGGGGTGGGACCCTCTTCCAAAGCCTCTGTCTGCTTGTTGCCCAGGGCCCCTCCATTCTGTCCTGGACAAGGACCCTCCTCTGTGTTGTAGGGTCCAATTATTTCAACTAGATGATGTCATTCAAAGATACTGGGGAAATGATGCCCAGAGCATTGGAGGAGCCTTGCCCTGCCAGCCCCTCATGCCACCTCCTCTCAGGGAAAAAAAAAGTGGCATAATCTGTGTAGAGAACCTGGGGATGGAGGGGCAGAGCCTATAAATGGCATGATCATGCCCTATCTCTATGGGCACACCCCGCCCCTTTGAGCATTTCCTGGGTAGGGAGTTCCATCCGTACCTACCTCTGTACTGTGGTCCTCTCTGCCTCCCCAATCCCAGGCCTGGTGTCTGGGTTCTATTTTCATGCAGAGATACCATGACCACAGCAACTCTTATAAAGGAAAACATTTAATTGGGGAAGGCTTACAGGTTTGGAGTTTTAGCCCATTATTGCCATGGTGGGAATCATGGCAGACATGGTGTTAGAACCATAGCTGAGAGAGTTCTACATCTGCATAGATGCACATCAGGAAGAGAAGAGAGACACTGGGCCTGGCTTGAGCATTTGAAACCTCAAAGCCCACCCCCAGTGACACACTTCCTCCAAAAGGGCACACCTACTAGTGCCATTCCCTATGAGCTATGGGGGGCTGTTTTTATTCAAATAATCACACCTGGTACCCCAGGGATTGAATGCTAAGGAGGAGGCTGGGCCATTGACCCTGGACAGATGACATCCTGGGCTTCATTTCTTATGCACTCCCACATTCTCTTCTTCAAGCTGCTGATCCCTGAGTTGCCTCGTGAGGCTGACAGATTATTTTACAGATAATAAAACTAAGGCATGGTATGTTCCAGGGTAGGCAAAAAGTGAAGGCACAAACTACTTTAGCTTCTGGATCCTCCTTGCTATGGGACAGAGTGCAGCAGTGCTAGGACCTCCCACACAAGCTTAATCAGTGCAGCCTGTCACTCAAAAGTCTTCTCTGTTGACATCAATGCTCATCTGTAGGAACCTATGGTATCCATGCTGGCCTGTGGGCATCCACAGAGATGTGGGCTAGAACCAAACAGCAAGTTGGGTTGGTCCCCTTCCCCAGGTAGTTTGGAAAGTAGTACTCAAAAGGTGACAGCCTCATTGTCCCCTGGAAACTGTTTAGAAATGCAGAATTCAGGTCCTACCAAGCCCTGCAGAGGCAGAATCTGCCTGCTACCTGCCTGCCTGTCTGATGATTTATTTGCCTTCGTGTTAGCATTTGAGGCAGTATCTCTGAGCCCCACTTCTAGGATAATTGGAGCAAGGCTGGGCATCAGGACCACACAAACCTCTTCAAGGGATTCTAGCATGCATCCCACTGACCCCAGGGTCTAGCACCAGGTCTGTTTCTGGTGGGAGAAAGATGAATTGGTCGCAGGGTTTCTTTGAGAGGGAAACTGTTCTGAGCTGAAGTTCCAAGTCTTTCTGATCCAGATTCTAAGTCTGGCACCTGATGTGGGGAATACTATTGTGTTGATAAGCAGTCCCTGGGCTCCAGGAAGTGCCTTGGAGCCACTGGCTGGACCGTCTATGTCACCTGGTGATACCTTTAAGGTTGAGTCTTGGAGAAAAGAGTGGTACTTCAGACCTGAGCAGGGCTGATGCAGCAGGCAGGGCTTGGGAGGAGCCCTACCTGCCCCACCTTCCTCAACTCAGCTCCTGATTACAGTCCCCAGGGTCATACCTCTGCCTGCCACCTTCTCGACCCAGTACCATGGCTAAACCAGGCCTGAATATGGAGCTGAATCGCTTGGTCCAGGACCAACCACCTGGCCAGGAGGGCCCCCGGCCTGGCCCCCAAAACCCAGCCGAGCACCTCCCCAATGTGCCCAGCTATCGTCCAACAATCACCCGCATTCCTGTCCTTGTTTCCCGGAGGACAACCTTGTCCAACTCCAGCTTCGCCAAGGAGACCAGGAGCTCCATCCGTCGCCTGGGTAGTGTAATCTTGCTCCGGCATGCTTGGCATGTGGCAGAGTAGGGCTTCTGCATGGCTTGGGCTGTCTTCTCACCGGTGAGGCATGCTGCAGGAACATGCTTTGTGCTCTTGGAATTCTCCTTCCTCCAAAGACTCCCTCCCACTCTGTAGTGACTTAAGGGAGTTTGGTCCTTTTCCTTCCACCTGCCTAAAGGTTCACAGTTAGCTGGTCCGTTCTCTGACGACATATACTTTCTGCATGCCATCATTCTATACAGGCACTCATTCCCACTCTGTTTTTTGTTTGTTTGTTTGTTTAATGAGTCACCTCTCTAGACCATAAAGCTTGGGGAGAATGCTGGTAGAAGAGGTAGGGGTCATTCCTACCCCTGACTGAAGTGCTGTGGACAGTCAATAGCTTCTGGGGGGAGAGGGAGTCAGTTTTCTTTAAAATATGGTTCCTGGTAGGGCAACCATGCTCTGATGGATGGCCTCCTATCCAGGAGTCTATATGAGAAGAACAAATTGGAGTTTATGGTGCATTATAAAGGACATAAAGTTTGGGGAGTAAGAAAGAGGGGGTGGGTCTTTGGGAGTTGGGGGTGAATATGATCAAAATACATTGTACGCTATCTTCAAGAATTAATAAAAATGTTTTTAAAAGAAGGGAGAGTGGCCTCGGATGGAGGGAAATTGGATGGTGAGTGATGTGAGGTCCATTGTAGGTAGACTTGCCTGAGTATGAGCGTCTACTGGGCTTTCTGAGGGCCATTGGTATCTACTGTTCCAGGGAAAGTGGAAACAGGCAGGAGCAGGTGGGAGAAGCAAGCAGGTGCAGGCAGGCTGGAAGAAGGAATTCTTGGGGTTCAGTGCAGATTGGGGGCTTGTCCAAACTTGTCACTGTGTTAGTTCTGCTCACTGATTAATGATAAAGTACTTGGGGGGCTACAGGTGCCCCGAGGTAACCTCTGTCCCTTTCTGCCTTGGTTTAAGCCAGTCTGCCCACTCTCCCTTTGATGTAACAGACATTTGTGCTGCCACTGGGCCAGGCTGTCTCTGAGATCAGGGCAGGTAGGAACAGGACACTCCATAAGAATGGGCCTGGTTGCCCTCGTCTCCTCATCCTAGCTCACGATGGTCACAGAATAGGGTGAGCTTGTACTCTGATCATCCATGCAACAAGGGGCAAGACCTAGGCTCTGTCTGCTGCTCCACAGGACCCCCAACTTAGGCCTTTTTTCTTGTTATTTTTATCTAATTTTACATAAACAGGAAAACTTTTAATGGCGAGACAAATGGAAAACTGGAGAGGCTTGCCATACACAGAAGATGTCAACAGTTTGCTTCGGTGTTGCAGTGATAAAATGCTGAGCAAAAGCAACTTGTAGAAGCAAAGGGTTTATTTCCGTTTACACTTCTGGGTCACAGTCCATCACTGAAAGAAGCCAACTCAGGCTTTCAAGGCAGGAACCTGGAGCAGGTGGAGGATGCTGCTTACTGGCTGGTTCCCCTTGGCTGGCTCAGCTAGATTTCTTCTACATCAATTAGCAATTAAGAAATGCTTCCCATACATGTCCACAGACTAAGCTGATGGAGGCAACTCCCAATGGAAACTCTCTCAGATAAGTCTGGAGCTGTGAGTTTCTGGTGAGATGCTGAGCCTGCTGAAGGCTTGGAGCCCAGAGTGGCTTCCTCCCTGCCGAGGCCGCAGAAGTATTGACCTTACTGGGCACTCAAGATGGAGGGAGAGTGAAAGTGATGTCAGGATCTCATTCTCCATCTCCCCCTTTCTGGTCTGTGTGTCTGGAACCATCTATGTCCTCCCTAGATCCTAGGGACTGGGACTGGGAAATACACCCAGCAGCACCGTGCAGGTGTGGCTGGTACAGTAATGGCATGACATGAGAATTTTAGTGCTACAGAGGAACAACAAAGTGCTGTTCCGGGTCTGGGTGTGGTGGTGCCCATTTGGGATTTAAGACTATTGTAGCGAGACCTTAGCTCAAAACAAAAGGAAATCAGCAAAACTGGCAATTGGTTAGTCACGGCTCAGCCCTTCTGAGCTGGGTTTGCATCTGCACTGCAGCAGGTTTCTGAGCTTTCCTAACCTACAGTTTGCTTAGGCACAAGATGGAAACAAGGTTACAAACTGCCCCACAGAGCAGCTGGGGGAGATTAACCAGCGCTGAGATACAGCTGAGAACTGACACTCAGGAAGCTGGGGCAGAGCATTGCTTGGACCCAGAACACACACCCAGCTCAAACCACAGCAAGGGAGTGGTAGGAAAAGCGGATAGATGTAAATATTTAACATTTAAAAACCAATAACAGAAGCCCAGCATTAGTGGCACATGCTTTTCATCTCAGCACTTGGGAGGCAGAGGCAGGTGGATCTCTGTGAGTTCAAGGCGAGGTTGGTCTACAAAGTGAGTTCCAGGACTCACCTGTAAACAAGCACTATAGAGACTGAGACAAGAAGATTGGGAATTCAAGGCCAACACAGCTACATAGTGAAATACAGGAAGGGAAGGAGGGAAGGAGGGAAGGAGGGAAGGAAGGGTCAGTAGGTAAAGGTGCTTGCTGCCAAGCCTGATGATTGATCCCCAAAATGGAAGGGGAGAACCAATTCCCACAAGTTGTCCTGTCACGCGCACGCGCGCGCGAGTGCGCACACACACACACACACACACACACACACACACACACACACACACACTATGGCACATGCTTACATACCATATGTAATAAATAAATGTAACTTTTTTGTTTTTGAAACAGGATTTTTCTCCTGGAACTTGCTTTATAATCCAGGATCCACCTACCTCTGCTTCCCAAGTGCTGGGATTAAAGGCGTGTGCCACCAAGCCTGTCTTGATAAATGTAACTTTTTAAAATAAATGTAATTTTTTTAAAACTTACAAAGAAAAGGGGAAAGGGAGGAAGTAAATGCTTAGCAGTAAAACATTCTCTGGGCATTTTAATAATGCTTCTGTTTCTACTATTATTAGTCTAGATCACTATACTACAAACCTATCTCATCTGAGCTGCCTTCTGCCAGCAGGGTGTTCCTGCTCTCCACTGGGAGGTGGTGGTGATGGAGCCCTGCCTAGGGCAGGCAGTGGGAGGAGGCATTCCCTGCCTGACTCCCGGAGTCAGACTTGCTGAGGATAGAGCATACTATGCACCCTGGGTCCCGAGCCAAGGCCATGCTGGGGCAGTTCTGGACCCCCAGGTGTCACCTTTAGGGTCCTTTCTCTTCAGCTCCAATGGGGACTAGGGGCAGTAGGTGAGGCCTCTCCCTTCCTCTGAACCTGGAGGATTTCTTCTCAGTCTAGCACACTGGTTCTCAACCTTCCCAAGCTGCAGCCCTTTAGTACAGTTCCTTATGTGAGGTGACCCCCAACTATAAAATTATTTTGTTGTTACTTCACAACCGTAAGGATTTCCCCCTCCCCGCCTCCCCCTACCAGACAGAATTTCTCTGTAGCTTTAGAGTCTGTCCTGGAACTTGCTCTATAGTCCAGGCTGGCCTTGAACTCACAAGAATCCACCTGCTTCTGCCTCCAGAGTGCTGGGATTAAAGATATGTGACACCATCGCCCAGCTAGGAATCTTAATGTAAATATCTGATATGTAACCCCTGTTGGGATCTAGACCCACAAGTTGAGGACTCCTGAATTCTAGCAAATGATCTTGATCTGCCTCAGTGTTTAAAAAACTTTCCCATTCATGTTGGTCCTCCTCTGGGAGGCGGGGGGAGGGGGGGTAAGGTTTGAATGACTTAGCAAAACAAGCACCCAGGTCTGAGGCAACCTTTCCTCCCATTGTACAGTTGTAAGCTACGCACTGGGCTTTCCATAGTGGCCATGAGCAGAAGCATCCCCAGGGACAGTTATTCCAGGGTACCTGCCCTGCCTTGCTGTGTAACAGGCTTGTGGACAGCTGCCTCTAAAGCTCCTTTCTAGGTATAGTCAGCCCTTCAGTGTCCTCTGAGTCCCCAAGGTGGTACCATTCACAGAGTTCCCAGGAAGTACCTGATTCCAAGGAATAAGGCCCAGGCGTTTCAGAGGCCCAAATAGATAGCAGGTGACTTCTGGGGCTCCTGGTATGGATGCTAATACCCTCCAAAGCAGATCTCCAGGTAAACACATGACTAACACAGCAAATACAGCTGAACTGGAGTCCCGTCAAGAAACCAAGGCCTTGCTTGGCTCCTGCCTTTCCTACAGGCTGGAAGACATGGTTTCTCTTTCCTTGAGAAGGGCACAAATGGGCCTGTCAATGTGACACTAGTATCAGCCTACACACTGAGAAGCTAAGAGAGAGTTCTGGAGCATCGAGGCAAGATTTCCAGCTCTTGGGTTTGGGGCTGATAGTGACAGGCAAAGGGCCTCAGGTTGCATGGAGCTTGGCTGGGGACCGCAGTGGGGAGGCGAAGCCATCAGAGATCCTCTCAACACAGCTCCAGAACCTGGCTTCTCTCCCTGACTATCCCCTTCTTCCTCTTCTCAGTACCAGCTACTAAAGAGCACCCAGAGCTCCAGGTAGAAGACACGGATGCTGACAGCCGTCCCCTCATACCAGAGGAGAAGGTACCTTCTCCAGAGACACCACTCTCTCCTACAAAAACTGACACCCTCCAGGTCCCTGGCTCTGCTACAGCAGCCCACAGGTTAGCCATGATGGTTTGATTGGGACTATGTCTTCAAGGTACTAGCCCATCTGACAGATGATGGGAAGCAGCAGGACTGAGAAGCATTCTCAGAGTCCTAGCCCAGATACCCTCCACTGCAGGACAGAGGGATGCCAGGCAGAAATGCCCATGTTTACACATGCACTAAATGTGACAGCTAACTCTGCCACCTCTTTTATTGTGTTTTATTTTACATTTTGGCAGAGTATTGCTTTCTAAAGAGTACATATGATTATAAATTAGCAGAATGCTAGGTCTTGATTACTTTTTCTCTCACTTTTTTTTTTTCTAGTTCAGGACTTCACATGTTAGTCAAACACTCACACTCCCAGCATCTCTCAATAACTTAAAAATATGTTTTTATTAACCTATTTATCTAGTTAGTGTATGCATGTGCCACAGCATGTATGTGGGTGTCAGAAGACAACTTTGTGGCCTCGATTCTCTTCATCTACCTTTCTGAGATTCTGGGGATCGAACTTAGCTTTCCAGTTTTGCACAGCAAGCAATTTTACCCACTGAACCAGCTCACCCCCCAGCACCCAGGGTCTCCTTTTTGAACTTCACTGTGTTATCATAGTGTCATGGTTAAGGACCACGGCCAGACCACCCCTGTGTGCCCCTAGCTGATCATAGTGCCACTGAGATCAGCACACTGAACCCCACTCCTCGCGCTGGGCAAATCCTGTAGTCATTCTTTTCCAACACTCATCCTTCCTTTTTTTCCTCTCTTCTCTCTCTTTCTCTCTCTTTTTTGAGTCAGTGATTCACCACAGAGCCCAGGCTTGCAGCTTCCTGCTTCTGCTCCCCAGCAGCTGGGACTGTGGAGATGTCCCATTACACCTATCTTAAGTTCTTTTATGTTTCATGTCCCAAAGGACATTTCTAGTGGACCTGTGCACATGCATTGCCCTGTTTTTCTCCTTTAGAATACACTCGAGTTTAGGTCCTAAACCCTCATCTTCTTGTTCCCTGCTGTTCTGACCTTCATTTGACAAGCTAATGCATGGCCTTTGTGTGCTAACACACCTATCTGTGTCTCCAGACTGTTGGTTCCACGTGTTAACACTGGGCATTTTGTGTTTATATGCTAAGAGTCTTTAGGAAATGGCTATTCTTCTTTCCTGCATTCATTGTCTCATAAACCGTGTGCTGATACCACAAGTATCTAATCTCAGTGCTCAGGAGGCTAAGGCAGGAGGATCACAAGTTTGGAAACAGCACAGGCCACATGACAGGACCCAGTTTAAAGATGAAAAAGAAAACGAGAAACACACACACACACACACCAGGCAGGCCTAACCTGCATCCTCCAGGTACTATCTTTGTGTTTCTGTATTGACTTACTTTACTCCACCCTAAGCAGATCTTTCTCTGAGGCTGGGAATGGCTTTCTTGGTAGTGTTAAGGGATGTCTGTCTTTCTCTCTTTCCTAGTTTTTTTTTTTTTTTTATTCCTCCATAAAGCAACTCATCCCCACTCTTGAGGACAAGAGTGGGAAAGTCCAGAGAATTAGCCCCAAGGGTGCCAATGTCAAATAGTACCAAGGGCCCCCCCCTGCCCACAGCTCATACTACCCGGGCTCTGATCTATGGACTTTCATATCTAGTCAGACAAGATACTAGTGGCTCCAAATGCAACAACCTGTGGTTTTCCTGAATGACAGGGGATCCCCCAGATAACTTCGGCTTCATTCTGTGGTTAGGAGCCTAGAGTTAAAAGGGAGGGGACTTGTTCAAGGTCACACTATGAGCCAAAGACTGGATTCCATGGCTTTGTCTCACAGCTGAAGGTGGTATGATATGAGGGTGGGGTTGGGGAAACCAGATCAGAAACAGGAGGCCGAAGGGTAGAAGGACACTTAGACAGGGACTTAGCTGAGGGGCAAGCACCTCTATTTCATTGGGTAGATTTAGTGCTACTTCTAGAGAGATGGAAGCATGTTATCATTAAGTGCTGTGCCAAGATCAGATTCCAAGTTTACCTGACACTGCATCCATGTGTTCACTTTGGGCCAGACCACTGAGAGGTTTGCAAACCCTGGTGTCCCAAGATCAGGCCTTCTCTCCTTCCAAGAACCAGTTCAAAGGCAGCCATTTACTTCCCTTAGCTGGCCTTCTTTGAAGGTCCCAAACCTGTCTGGGTCTCTACAGGAAGAAGCTACCTTCTCAGGATGACGAAGCTGAAGAGCTCAAGGCACTGTCACCAGCAGAGTCCCCAGTGGTGGCCTGGTCAGACCCCACCACCCCACAGGAGGCTGAGTAAGTGGAGTCACTCCTGACTCTCAGAGACATCAAGGTTGGTTTGGGACGGGCAGACAAAGAAAGGAGCGGAACCTGGGGTGCTTGTAGAACCCCACACAAGGTGAACTTTATGTTTTGGAGTGGTAAGGCGGGAGCAGCTCTCCTGCCCAGAACTTTCCTGGTTGGTACAGAGTTGGGCTTGAACTCTAGGCAAGATATGTTCATCCCAGCAATGATCAGAGAGGAAGGAGTACCTAGACAGAAGTTCCCCACCCACCAAAGATCTTGGCACTGAACCCCAAGTAAGTCAATAAGAAGAAGAACATTAAGGTATGCTATAGGTCCCTACCTGAGAGCTTGTTAAATTTGATCCCAGGCTCTACACAGCGGTCCCAAAACTTGCATTTCCATAGCATTCTGTTGACTTCCATAACTGGTTGTAGGACATGGCTGGAGGCCATGGTAACAGATTTAGAAGCTGAGTCCCTGCATCTAACTGTCTCCAGGACTGGGCCATAATCAAGTATCTTCCTGAAGGTTTTCAATAACCCTGGTTGATGTTAAGTGCCCAGCCTGGGACACTGGTCTAGACACCCTACCATGCTCTCTAGCCATGGCCCCTGTATTGACTACAAGAAACTTGAGGAGGGCCTGCCTCCTTCCTCTGTGCCTTTTCTGCCCATAATTTTATTATTTGTTTTAAAATGTATTTATTTGTTGTTATTGTAAGTGTGTATGTGATGTCAGGAGCT